CTTCGTATTTTCCTTTTATGTTTGATCTTTTATTGACTCCCATCATTGTTGATATTTTGATGCTACATATTCTTGGATTCTTTTCACTATAATATTAGTGGCCTACAGTGCTGAAAAGAATGAAAGCCTTGTGAAAAAGCTGCTAATTGTATTTGTGACACTCTGAATATCTTGTTCTTGAGCTGAAAATTGATTCATCTATAAATTGATTCATCTGTTCTTTCCCCCCCCTGCAATTATAAGAGGCATATATAAAACATTCGTCTTATTGAGCAAGATTGATTTTTTCATGTAACTGCTCGAGCTCGAGCTCGTCGAGCTTGATTTATGACGTTCGAGATCGACTCGACCAAAAAAGACAATCGCTCGAGCTCGGCTCGAGATCGATTGAAATCAAAATGCTCAAAAGATTGCTCGAGCTCGGCTCGAGTTCAACTTAAATTTCAAGTAAAATTAACATTAAGTACACATATTAAAATATTGTAGTATTTATATATAAAGGGTATTTTAGTAATTCACGGCATATCTTGAGCCGAGCTTTGACTCTAGGCTAATATATCACTTATTTGACAAATTTGTACCCGACGAGTGTGGATTTTATCCAAGCCAAAGTCCGAGTATTGGTTTTATCCTAGTGTATTCAATTTAGATTTGTTAAGACTTTTAAAAGTCATGGGCTATTTAATTAGGATTTTAGAAAGTCTTACAAAATCTTGATGTATTTAATTTATTTGAGATTGGCATTTGTTAAGATTATTTAAGATTTGATGGGATTTTTTTAAAAAAAAAATCTTATACGAAATCTCACTTCAAATCCCACCTCCAGACTTAAAATTTCGCAGAATTTCTCTAAAATTTAGAAATCTTAACAAATTTCAATTTTTAAAAAGTCTCAAAATGTCACTTAAAATATCAATTGAATAGACCCCCAACCATTCCGACCCTGTGGGAACCCTTCATACACCGGGTGGAATCTTCCCACTTATTTGCAATAGCTTTTATTTTTTTTTTGGCCTTTACTTGTGGGACTACTACATTTTAACTTGAAGTCCCTGTTTTCATTTAGTTATGTGGTGTGGATAGAGAATGTACCTTATCCCAAAAAATGTTTGCCTATATATGACTTCTACTAATGGGCTCTCGGCTGTGCGTGCCCAAATTTAGTCTATAACTGTAAATATTTATGACTTCAAATTTGTCTAACCTTATCAATATATTTGCCCGACTTAAAGAGTACATATACATACATTTGAGGACTTTTCTAAAAGTAAATTAAAATTACTTGATATGAATCCAACAAGAAGTCCATCATGATAAAATATTCAACAAAAGTCCATAATAAACAATTTTATCACTGCTCAAGTTCATGGAATATCACATTCACACTTGTTTTTCTTTTTGCAGCGCCAGCACATTTGGGTAGCCAAAATCTCGCAATGGTGGTAGCCGTAACAGCCATCCTTCACAAAGTTAACATGGCGGTTTGGCAGTAATCCTCCCACAGCCACCATTTGATAACACTGTCAACATAACGACAAAAATAAGAGTAAATTAATGACCATAGATCACTGAATCTTAACTAAAAAAATGGATTTAAAACTGCAACAAAAAAAAAACATATTCGCTGAAACACCTACAAGAAGATGAAGTAGCCAAAATCTGTGAATATCCAACATTTAACATCTGTAACAAAAAGTATAAAGTATTATAATCAATAAATTATATTCCTTTCAAATGAATAAGATAAAAGCTATTGAATTTATAAATTGACACTATTAAACATAGAATGGATATTAGGCGTTGGATCGTGAGATTATGGCACCATATGGTGCCCATATAGGCGCCATAGAATTTCTGCTATTAAACAACTATCATGGTTTGTAAATATTCCTAGATATCCATATAGAATTTGTAGAGATTAGGCACTATTGACTCATCCATTTCTTATAGCAAGGAAAATAAGACTTCCCTCAGTTCTTAAGAACACTTGTTATGGTTTTATAAATTTTTGTATTAAATGGTGAGAGAGAGTCCCCACTTTTATATTGGAAAGCCGATGTGCGAAATTGGCAGTGCAATGCAAAAAACTAAGGCTAAGCCCATCAACATGTTCACGCAAAGGTACTCTTTAAACAAAATTGTACCTTTTCTGTTTGTGATAGAACAATGACCTCCCGTTATCCCAACTGTATGAAAACGAATGCCTTCAACACAGGTTACCAGTGAAGGATCACCAGCAGCAAGTAGAGTCGTTCAGTCGCGAAGATACACACCTGAATTACATGAAGAGCGCATACAGAATGAGATCGACAAGCACTAGCAAATCTTGTTCCTGAATATATATAATACACACACACACACACACACATGTATGTATATATATATATATATATATATATATATATATATATATATGTAATAATAGGACAAGCCTTTTGTGCTGTAGGCATCATGATGATAAGAGAAGTACACATCTAAAATTTTTCATATATATTCGGCAAATTTTCCAGTTGATTCTGGCAATTTGCTTTGATCAGCATCTGTAAAAGAACAAAAAGCATGATATAATATTTTTCAAATTGAATGAGGCCAATCTGAAATTTGTCCAATATAACCAAGCATTCTATGAATTGTGACTTTTTCTTGAAAGTGCAGAGTTCAAAACTAATAAATACGATGGATGAGTATTTAGAATTTGATTTTCATGGTGTAATTGCATCAAACGATAGAAATAGAAAATTCAGGGAGAAATTATAAGTTCCTAAAATTATAAGTTTTTAAAAATAAATAAATTACACATAATGATATAAGTACACAACAAAGAATTAACCACTAAATCCTACCAGACCTTCATTCAAAGACACCATTTAATTTCCGAAACAGAAAGATAATCAAAAGAAGAGATAACTTAAAAGAAAAAGGCATGATTTGAAGACTTTACCAAGTTTCATATATTACATAGAAGCTTTAGTTCGCAGGGTTTTCAGATTACTGGAAGAGGTCCAATATCATTTGAATAGAGATAGAGAAAAAAATGAAAACATAGACAAAAAAAAAAAAAAAAAATATTACCATTAGAAATCAAAATAGCCTGCGAAGGGAGTTCTCTTTGAGTACATTGTCCGCCTGTGCAGAAATTGAAGAACTCCAGATGATCGATCACCTTACTCTGCAAGCACATAGGGAGCAACTGAAAACTTATGAATGCGTGGGTTTAAAAATTTGAACATGAAAACTACACAAACCATGTCTTTTCGGCTTTCACAAAGATCCCAAACATGCGACGCCATCGGGAACTTAGCTACCTAAAACACCTCTCAAGAACAGTTAAAGGATACTTAAAGTAATGATCCTTCTAAAGGATATCTATGCGACTTGGTCAAGTTAAACGAAGTCATGTCTATATTTCAAAATTATAAACATCCTCTTGATATTTGCTTCTATTTTACAAATTGAAGATGGATATTTTTTGACGAAATGCTTAACTAACCTCTGTGGGGATTTGTAAGTTTGAAATATAATTGAGTATTGTAGTTAGGTTGCAAATCCAGGGTTATGTCTAAAACTGATACCACCGTTAGCACACACAAATTTAGTTTTTGTTAATCTACTACTGATGCAATATTACCTCAAAAACGATTCCAGCGTACAATGGACGCATCAAACAGGATCCACTCAGAGCAACCATACTTTTCAGCGAGTGAGAATAGCTGCTTCAAATCAGCAAGGAGCCACATTTTTCTGAAATGATTCATAAGAAAACAAAGATGACGCGAAAATTACAATTCCTTCAAAAGGATCTTAAAAAATACAATCACCAGAACATTGAAGTGAACAATTAAAAAAAAACCAGGGTGGAAATGAGAGTATAGATTAGAGTAATTGCTTGGGTAGGGTTTGTAAATAGGGAGATATGTTTACCTGCTTACTTAGTTACTTGTCAATCTCACGTGCGCGAGATTACTGCGAAAAGGAAGATAGAATTCATAAGGCAAATAAGATTTTCCGGCAAAGCAAGAAAAGCAAATAATGATGCCCAAAATTCAGAAGAAAAACGACCCAAGCAAGAACACAGGGGCTCAAGCAAATAAGCGCCAACATCGCTGGCAAAATAAAATTACATGTGAACACATTTATTTATGTCATAATTAACACAATACAATACAAGAAAAGTGAAAATTCCTTAAAAACCAGCCCATAAACAAAACTAAGCAAACAAATCTAACCAGAAAAGACAAAACCAGAAGTTCATCAGAAACTAAAGACAGAGGTATGTAGCAAGATCTGAACATGCCAATCAGAGAGTACTTGTTTGACCGAATCTCATTTTTCGACCGTGTGCAGAATTTCATTTTACGCCAAATCTAGAACTAAATCTAATCAGAGAATACTTGTTAACCCACATTATCTAAAAGCACAATTAATTCTTATTCCAATCATAGAGTACTTGTTAACCCATGTTATCTAAAAGCACAATTAAATCTTATTCCAATCAGTTTATTCTTCATTTTTTTTTTAGGACTGCCCAGCATTGAAATCATAATTAACACAAATTACAACACAAGCAAATTTGTAATTCCATTGAAAGCAGTCCGAATAACAATATAAACAAAGCTAATCGAACAAATCCTACCAGAAAACACAAAACCAGAACATTATAAAAAAATAAAGAAAAAAAGATGAAAAATAGCAATAAAAAAAAAAATATGATACTCAATAGCAGCATATACTTGGATTAATTAAAGAAAACCCAGTACCGGAAATAACTATATTACAATTTGACATTTGGGAAGATGAATAGAAGGTGGAGCTCAACCCTAATGGCCTGTTAACACATTTATTTAGGTTTTAACAATCATCCTAATTTTATGAAAGAAATCAAGTTGTGTAGGATCTCGTATTCGCAATGTGTAAAGTTAACGATAGTAATCATATGTACATCCATCAACATACTCACAAAGAGAACCATGTGTCTAACTTTGACAAACACCAACAACACTATGACAATGGATACATCAGAGCATACATAAACTGCTGCATATTTCAGTGGTGTCAAAATGTAAATTACTGATTCCTGGCAATTAACGACCTGACAAACAAATAAAAGAAACAGAGATTAAGGTTTTTAACAACTTCCAATCTAAATAAAAGCCAATCCATATGAAAAATACATGGAATAGACGGAAAATTAAATGTTGCTCTCCACTCCTCATCTCATGCTAAGTAAGAGAAATGTTCATTTTAACTTCATGAGGAAAAACTGACAAGTGTAGTTATCTCAACTTTTTACTACACAAGGGAAAAATTTATAACTTCTCCCAAATGTTGTGTGTCCAGACCGCAGAAAATCAACTAACACGGTGATAACAAATCTCGAATTTTGTTAACAAATTTGATCTGAGTGTGATAACAAATCTCGGATAACCCCACTATACTAACTCGTTTAACTTCATTTTTGCTTCTCAACTAAGTTTATGCATGCCATATTTTCCCATCACCAAAATGTCAACCAAGGCTTATGATTTATGAACTTTCATAGCACATTTGGTTGGGAAGATTAGATAGAATAAGCCCATTTATCCTGGTTTATCATGCGTTTGTTAACTATGATACTAGCCCGCAAATTTATGTCCTGCCCGCAAATTTGTGGTTTGTGAATATTAAAAATTTCGCCTTAAGAATAACGTAACTATTACGTGCCTCAACTTTGATTTTGTGATTTATGAACTTTTATAGCACATTTGATTTTTGTTTTGTTTTCTTCATTTTTGTTAACAGCAAACGCCTCCAAGATACAACGATTTTCGACTTGTATATAGTGGTACTTCAAATATACAAGCCTTCGGTGAACACTCCTATACTCAATGAAAAAATCAAAGAACACAATATGCTATATAATATTTGAAAGTAATGCAAGAGCTCTCTAATTTTTCATGTATATAATAATTTCAAGTATGTGGGTATTTATAGATGTAGGGAAACACCTCCAAGAGGTTTAAGTGTCTAAAGACACCTTTTGGGACGTGCCCAAACGAGAACGGATGCATCTAGTGGCCAAAAGATACCTTATGGTCACCAAGGGTTGTGACCCTTTGATTTCCGCAGCCAGTTGTGCGCCCGTGCGCCACGGGCGTACGAGCTCATACGGACTCGGAATCGAGTTCCGTTTTTTCCTACTTGTCCCCAACGAGCCCTTCTACATTTCTAACATACACAACGCATATTTATGGCTCGTTTAGTTCGTCCAAACATTTGTCAAAATAGAATATTTGTGAACCCTACAACCTTTGAGTTATTTAAACTCAATTAATTAACATATAACACTTAGAATTAATTTCTCATTCACCTTAAAAAGGTTTTGAGAATTTCCTAAGTCTTCTACTTACGAAAAGTAGAATCGTTAAATCGGTACAAAACCAATTTTTTCTTACACTATCATGGGGGAGGGGTGTGATAAATTTTATCAAGGTTGATTTTAAGAGCAAATTACAGAAATGTCCAAGTCAAAGTTTTTAATTTTTTTAAAAAATGAGCAATAATAATGACGTTCGGCTTGTCGCAGGCTCGTAGGCCTATCGTTGGCCTGGGATATTGGTGCCTGTGACGTGCAAGTGGAAGTCGATAACAAGAGTATCATTGACATGGTTAAGAACGACACTTGTAGCGGGCCTCATGGTGGATTATTAATGGATATTAAGGAGCTTTTGCGTCGTCAGTGGGTGGTGGTGATGCACCATGGTTACCGAGAAGCGAATTTTGTGGCAGATTATTGAGCATCTTTGGCGGCTAAGGGCCCGAGTGGGCTTCATCAGTTGGAGCGTCCTTCGCCAGGGGGTAAGCTTATGGTTGCAACACGATAGGATGGGTGTGTCTCATGCTCGGTCGGTTCTAATTTAGGCTCGGCGTAGCCTCTCTTTATTGCACCAAAATAAAAAAAAGGCTAGGTTTAAGGGATCAAACTAAAAACCCCTTTATGTTTCTCTACCTCTAAGGCCTGCATTTGAGATTGGGTTGAGCAAGGCTAAAACTGTTAAAAGAAAACAAGCAGTTTGTCATGCTCGAGCTCATTGAAAACTCGTTTATTAACGAGTTGGCTCGACTCGTTAAGGTTCGAAAATAAAATTATTTATTAATATTTTATAGTTTGGCTCGTTATGGCTCGAGCCCACTCGTTAATGTTGATAAACAAGTCGAGGTGGGGTCAACTATTATTGAGTAATGAAAAAGAAATTCGCAACGTCAATTTTAGGGAATTGATGAAATAGGCCTACAGGCTAGAACACACTATTGCGTGTAATAAAAAAGAAATTTTTGCGCTTGGTAATTAAAAAAAAATGGAAAAAAAAAAGAAAAAGAAAAAGAAAATCGAGACAACCCAATAGTAATTTGACGGCACGACATGATTTATATTGACTGGACGAATTATAATACGAAATAATTTTGTGATAATTTTAATGGTATTTTTATGAGATACAATTTATAGTTCTTCATGAGTTCTTAACTCTATTTGCTTTCTCTTTTTCACAATTTTTAATTTTTATTTTTTCCTTTGTATTTCCTTCTTCATGAGTCGTTTTATTTTTCATCTGTTACTCAATATTTCATATATATCCTTGGTATTTCCTGTTAAGTGTGAAGGAATAATTAAGAATTTGATTTATTGTAATCATACTTGATTTTGTGTTGATAAAATTTCCATTGTCAAAAATAAAATAAAAATATCAATTGTACTACTTTGTTTTTGGTGTTTATATACTCAAAGCAAAATTCTTGCCAACAACTTAATTATCGTATTTCTATAAGCTAAATTGCATTTTTATATTATTAATCTTATACTAAAGAGTCAATTCGTATTTTATAAGCTAAATTGCATACTTATATTTTTGAATGTTATACTAAAGAGTAAATTTTTGACTAAAATTTAGCACCTAACATTAGACGAATATTCTTGGATTCAGCTACTGAGGCGAATAATAGTATGAATGAATAAATATGAGAACCTCAGAGAAAAGCTATCTGCATTACAAAATACCATGTCGCACAGTGAAGACCACTGCGAATGAACTGCATAAAAATGAACACGTTTGGTGACCGAGCGTTGCCGAATACCTGCAGGCACCGAGCATGCATGTTGCGACTAGCAGCACCATGTTCGTCGTTCATTTGCTGATAACTTTGAAAATTTTGTGTATTTAATTTTGTGCTTTTGCTTATTCTTCAGGGTACAAATACGGGTAAGTTTGCTAAAATTTTGTGTATTTAATTTTAAGTGCCACTATATATAAAATGAAAGTCGCTAAAGAGACAAATTAATCGGTGGATCATCAATATCTATATTTATATAAAAAACCATCATATTTACTAGAAATAGTAGGCAGGAAAGTCAAAAGTAATTAATGCTTGCTGGAAATAGAATGACATTAATTACAGATTTGTTTTTGTATTTATAGGCTTGACATTAAAGATTTGTTATGGGATAAAAATCAGAACCGATTTTTTTACCTTTGCTGGAAAAGTCAAAGGTAAGTATAGATTTGTTTTATCCCATAACATCAATTTAGTTAAAAAAATTCCATAAAATCGGTTTTAATGTCAAGCCTATAAATAAAGATTTAATCGGTCAAAATTAAATCTTTATTTTACGTCACCCATAAATAAAGCAGATGCCAAGTCTAAATTGAATGGTTTAGTTGTCTATATAGTTATTGATTTACGTAAATACATATAATGTTTAAAGTTTGTGTAGATTGAAAATTCCTTCTTATCATTTTACAAAAAATCTTATTATTATTGTATGAAAAATATGTTCTGTTTTATTATTGTATGGCCAATTTCAAAAAATCTTATTATTATTGTATAGAAATATGTTGTGTTTTATTATTGTATGACCAATTATATGTTGTTGTTTCGCGTGTAACTAATAGAAAGGGGTTGAAGATATTAGTTTGTGAGAATGACGAGTTGTCCAATAATCAAACTCATAATATTGTATATAAAGAGGTTTTTAATAATATATGATTGTTTCTTTGTCAAATACTATCTTATTGTACAATTTTCCTGCGTATTATAAAACTTTTATAGTATATTACATCTTATAATATA